CAAAGGTTTTCGATCGATTGATGGATGATGTTACTAAAGATATTTATATTTGTTCTCTACATTTTCATGGAGAAAGTGGTTCAACAGAAGAAAATCCTTGTCTAGTATTACACAATATTTTTTAATATTAAATACTACTTCGGTATAGACAGTAATATTATTAAAAATGTCATGTTGATCCTTAAAATTTTAAATAATTTATCTTATTAGTTATACTCGTGATTATCTTTCATGTTAAAGTATTTTTGGATTTACTGATAGTTGGTTGGCATAATTAATTAGAATAGAGTTATGATTATTATTTGTTTACATTAATTTTTTACACAGTTAATATATATTGAAACCTAACCCCTCAATCACCACACTTTTTTCCTTGTTCCGAACGTCCACGTTACTTCAAGAACCTTCTTAATTGCTCACAACTATGTGCTTCCACAGAGTTATAAAAATGTAAATCACCATCAACGATTTTTCTAATGATTGATTTATATGTATAGATAATATTGATTTTCCAGCCATTCTTGATCAAAACAGTACGAAACTTTTGAATTGGCGCTACTGTAACATGGCGGCTGCGCTTGCGTTCATCACATGATGAAAAGGTCTATTAAATTCGCGCATTACGTCACCACAGGACTACTGGTGAGATTGCGTACAAAGTGCCATTGCAGGTCCGTTTTAATTATTTTATATACTTATTTTAAAATCAGAAATAATTAGTTTTGAAACTCGACAATAAAAATAATCAAATTTAATCTTCCGTTAGGTATCTCTAGGTGGTATTCTTACTACTTGTAGTAATAAATTTCAAATTTTTACCATATACGGGATGTCAAAAAATAGGAATTAGGGCAAAGTTACAACTTTTATTTTAAAAATATGGAAAAAATTATATAGAATCAGTCACCTCAATCTCAAAAAAATTGATATGTAATAGATTTTATCGTTTCTTACTCTAAGAATAAACAAACGCAGTACCGGATTTATATTTTTTATGAGTATAGGCCATTTTATTTCCACCGCCCCATGTACCTTCTTAAAATAATATCTGAAAATTTATTATGTTTTACAAAAGCATTGGTATTTGTCGGGGGTTGAAAACATATTAAAATTAAAAACGTCACATGTTAAAATAACGATAATAAAATATTAATGAGCCTACTTTATAAAGTCAAAAAACAAAAAAACTGCCAAAATTTTTAATGTTCACAAAAGCAAAATGGATACTGGCAATGAATATTGAAACGGTTTTAAGAATTCAAATTTGAAAAAACTAATTTTTAATTTATAGAGGTGCTGCCCTCAAGCAGGGAGTGGCAATACTAATATTTAATGAATTTCAAAAAATGATGTTGAATTTCAAAAAATGATGTTTATAATAAGTAGTAACGAAAAATCTTCACTAGGTAGAACCACAAAAAGTTTATTAAAAAAATGGAAATATGACTAAAAAAGAAATTTAAAAAGTGTGGGGACAATTTTTTAATATTTTCTTTTTTAGTCACATTTCCATTTTTTAAAAAACTTTTTGTAGTTTCACCTAGTGGAGATTTTTCGTTACTTATTATAAACATAATTTTTTGAAATTCATTAAATGGCTATACTGAAACAAAAGTGATCCAAATAGCATATTTTAAGTTTTGAGATAATCAGGAAAAAGATTTTTCTTTAATTAAATTTTTACCTACAAAAATGTTCAAGCTAGTCGTATTAAGCTTGATTGGTAATCATAAGTATAATCTTTTAGTAAATACTTTTAGTAATTATCTGTTTACGTTTAACAAAAAAAATTAAAAAATTAAATTGGATCACTTCTGATTAAAAAAAAAAAAAAAAAAAAAAAAACAAATTTGGGGATCAAAAAGTACCAACTTTATTATTTTAGTAGAAAATTAAAACAAAAACTTAAATATTGTCGAACAAAATAAACTAAATAAATGTTTTTCTGAATTAATTATTAAAAAAATATTTTTCTTAATCTTCATCTTCTTCATTTTCATCACCCAGTAGATTTGGCAGAATGTTAAAATCCTCTTCTTGCATGGCATGACCTCTTCGGTAAATATGTGACAAATTTAGATAAAATTGGTGATAAATGGATGGCACATATTGTAACATTTTTTTAAGATCCTGCATTTTAGCGTGAGTTTTGGATTTTACGTTATCTTTTGCTTCTGTTGGTTTAAATGAATGTAATGTTTCAAACATTGTTTTGGTATTGCCTGATTTGTTTAACTCCAAACTATCGTAAACATCATAGTAGTTAATATTAGGTAAAGTTTACTATCACCTTTCACAAATCTGATTTTCTGCATCTTTGAGATTACCACACAGTTACCATTAGTACTTTGGCCACCTTTACCCATAATTTTAAAGAGATCTTTAAAGTCAATAAATTTTTTCACCCATTCATTCTTCTGGAATATAAACAAATTCATTTCTCTTCTGGGCTTTTGTAATATCTGAGAAGTCGGAGTCATTTGGTAGAAATGAGTGTAACAAACGATTATTTCCGTTATAGCTGGATTAGAATAATTCACTACATACATCATAAAATGAAACGTATTCTAATTCCTATTTTTCCCAGAGCATGAATCACTAAAAGTATAAAGAGTTTTTGTGTTTGCGGGTATATTATAATAGAGGCAGGATATCACTTTTTGGGATCCTCTACCCCCAGTTATCTCATATCACATATTCATTAGTAATGAATCATTACTATTCTTTCGCCAATTGGTAAATAAAGATGCGTCCCAAAATTAAAAGTTTGAAGTTGTCTTAGAGAGTAAACTTCTCCAGTTTGTACCAGTGGGGTTGGAAGGGTACGTTGTAGGTCAAAAGTTATCAAACATGATCTACTCAGAGAAATTTGTTTGTAGCTATTTAACAAATTTTTAGCTTTAGAAACAAGAAGATGGTGATTGCCTTGATCTTGTTTAATCTGCATAGTCTTTACGGCATAGGTTTCGTTTTGAATTTGAACACGAAACATATCACGTGCCTCACATGTATCCTTTTTTAGAAATGTAAAAATGTAATTGATATGTGCGAATTCCCCCTTTTCTCTTACCCACTAGGTGTGCCTGATGAAACCGGTCGCCGTTCAAATACAAATTTCTTTGTGATATATAAAGGACCTGTTTTCTTTCTTTGAAGTTTAAATATCAAAATTGTCTAGCATTAGAGAATACCATAATCGCATGATTGTCGTTTTGGTGATCGAACTTTCTTGAGAAGTCCGCTTTCGTTGCTATGTGTTTTCTGATGAAAGTTAGAGAATAACTCCTGTTGACTTGTTCTAGTTTAACAAACTTCTTATGAATGAACTTTCAACATGTTTTTAAAGTTTTTAAATATTTTAATATTCTCCAAAATGATATGTACCATAAATATTTTCTAAAAATGGGCATTTTTAAATGTACCTATTATTTTTAACATAACTTTTTATCTCTGAATTTAGGCGCTTTTATAGATATCGGTGTAACAACTTGAATTTTCTGATCGAGTATGTGCAAATTATAATTATAAATGTCTCCTAGACTATATCTTTCACTACATTCAGTAGGAAGTAAAAATAAATAATAATCATTCTATAAGTAGTATAACTCACCTTATTGTTAATTTTCAGAAGATGCGAGAAACTCTTTGGATTAGTTTATATTTTCATAAAATGTATTCTTTCCAGGGAGCACTAAGATTTATTTTACTTTGTCAAGGAGAATACAATATAGCATTAATTATTTAAATTTAATCTCTTAAGTTTAAAATTTATTAATAATTCGTATTAGATAATATTGTATTACATAATGTTATTATAACTTACCTGAAGACGGACCAAGTTGAGATTTAAATAAGATAGAAACTGCTTCCAGCTTTAAATTCGTCTTTCATGGCAGAATTCATAACAAAATAATAATTTTTAAAGTATTTCCTTTAGTGTTTTTGTTAATTTTATCAACTTCAACCATTCCTTATTTTATGTTTTGAATCCAAATTTCGATTGCTTCAAAGTTTGTAGGAAAAATTACTAATAATAATCCACAATATACGTGTACCGCACATGTTTTTTATTTACTTACCTTTGAAACGACGTGGAACTACTCCAAATTTTTGTTTTAGGGCAAAAAAACATTGAATAGTAATTTTTAGACTTACAACTAACAAAATTCGTTAAAAAAACATTTTAGACACTTTAAAATCTTTAAAAATATGCCCTGGGAATATAAAATTACACAAAACTGACAGTTTCCAAGTGCTTGTTGACGGTTATAAGAAAATTTTGGCGCAGCTATTTAAAATAGACGAATCACAATCACGACCCAGGAAAAAGAGAAAGTAATAGATAAAAGGGTTCATACTGGCTTCAAACAAATCCAGACCGTTAGGTATCTATTATTCATTTGTTTATCTGAGCATAAAAGGAAGTAAGCATATTCAAAGTATTGAATCGAGAAAAGAAAACAAAAGAAGTACTTTTTAATCGTAGCATTTATTGGTGACTGGGTTTTTTAGCCGTTAAAATATAACATAATCTCTCGGATATGATTTTTGAAATATATTCACAGTGACCTTTTATCTTCATATGGTAAAATTAAGTAGCTAATCCGTAATGGATACACCATGGTAAATCAAATTATTGCTAACTTTTTTTCTAAAATGTACTAATTTCTGTTAAAATGTCAATTTTGTATTAGATAATTTTATACTTTTTAATAGTTAATACTCCATGACTTTCCATTTAGGTGTGCATGATAAAGTAATCAGTTCAAAACCGGTTAAAAATTAGACTCTAGTTGTATTTTTCATTTGATAAAAGATAAGCGATTGTTTTTTTCGAGAGTTGAAACATCTTCTAAGTAGTTACATCGTGTAAGTGTGTCATCTTTTCTTCTTCTTCTTTTTTCTCCTCTGTTATCCTTTTCCTAGTTACAGTTTATCTTCCAATGTCTAAAAATATTGTTTAAAAAAGCCTTACTAATTATACATAATTTTTTTTTTAGGAATGTAGCTTTAGTAATAATTTTAATACGTGCTGGTTTGGATCTAGATCCAAATGCGTTAAGGAGACTAAAGTTTACAGTGATCAAATTAGGTTTAGGCCCATGGGCAATGGAAGCTGTTATGGCTGCAGTTTTATCGGTATTCATTTTGGATATACCGTGGAGTTATGGTCTTCTATTGGGTTAGTATATTTGTCATGTATTATACAAGTTTATCATAAAGTAAGGGATATATTTCAGCTTAATATATAATTAAAAAAAAAAATAAGTTTAACAGGATGAGATAGATTGCTTAAATGATGGGATTTCTTGTGTCCAACAGTGGTTATCGCAAATGTTCAATATGTGAAATAAAAATAAATATATTTATTGAAATAGGTAACCCTAATATACAAACAATTTTTTTTTGTTACAAAATAACTCAAATTCAAAATACAAAAATCAGGAAAAAAAAATTACAATTTAGGACTCAACAGAACAGAAAAACAAAGTCCAAAATATAAAAAAAATAAATATATATAAAAGTTCCAAATACAAAAGTCTAAAATACCAAAAATATACATATTATTACAACCAAATAAATTTTTTTTAAAAGAGATTTGCACATTTAATCTACTTTACACTAATTTCATCAATCATGAACATGTTTTATCATTTTCTTTTTAAAAACTGTTACTGACGAACTAGCTTTAATACCAAAAGGCAATTTATTGTAATGGTCAAAGTATTTAAAAAATAAGGACTTCATTGATGTTCGTTTTTATTTATTCTAACTATGTGCAAGTTACTGTTTTTTCTGGTGCAGTAGTTAGGAATCTAATTGTTAAAATTAATATATTATTATTCTAGAAAATAAGGTGGGGCCAAACCATTTAATATTTTATATACAAACACCATAGTCAAATATTATGATCTCTGATAAACCGAAATCCATTGCAGTAATCTATGTCATACATGTTGCTGCTCTACAATTATCAACAGTTCCTTCAAAGTGTACATATCATTACTTAGCATTTTTGGTTGAATTGCAGCAATTTTAACTCTAATAGAGTCCTTTAATTCTTAAGCATTGTTAGTCGTATTTTAAACAATTTTTGTTAAATAAACATACAAACAGTAATCCAATGGGTTAACATCAGGCGATCATTACGTTTACTCGCTTTTTATTTTGATAACAATTCTCTAAATCGCGATGATTATGGTTGACACTTGTATCAGCAGTTGATACGACAACTCTTTAATGTTCTATAGATATAGTAAAATCCAATTATTGAGCCAAATATATTTCATTTACTTTTTGCTAGTAGCTTAATTTCTTTAAATTTTAAAAGACTTTAAAGTATACCCCTTACTTTATGAAAAAATCACTTGATTATTTCAATTTTATACAAAAATCTGTTTGAGTCATTTTTTGTGCTTTTTTCAAAAGTGCAAGAGGATTTTGATAAATATTTTGTTATTTTGAGGGCACTACAATACAGTTTTTGAGATAAGAAAACGATCAATAATTAAAAATTTACCACTAATTTAAATATATGTAGATAAAGTGTGGTTTAAAGAAAGTTTTTCTAAAGCAAACCATGACGACAACGACAAAGCTATGAGTCATATGACCATGACGACTAGGTACGGTTCTTCTTCTTCTTCTTCTTCTTTCTTTGGCCTCTTGTCTTTTGACATACAGCCAACTATTTGTTTTCTTATACGTTGTAACTTCATGAAGGATGCACATTGCTGTGCGTCTGGAGTCTACTGTCCATACCCCTCATGTGTAACTAGGTACGGTTCTGAAATAAATCCAAACTGATACGTAAAAAAAAGAAGAATAATTGTACTGTACGAAATACGTGAATTTTTCCAGATACGTTTTTGTGGATCACTTTATATTTAAACAGATATTTAGGCTCTCCTAGAATATGCAAAAATTTTGTATTAAAAGATACCAATAAACGAAAAACTAATTAAATTATAAAAATTTATGTTGAATGTCGAATATATCAGTGAATTTGGCATATCATCTACAATAATAAGTATACAGTCTCTGTCTATAAATTTTATTCATAATATTCAAGTTGGGAACTAGACTAACTTACCTTTTGGTGTTGGCAGAAGTTGCAAGAAACCGTATATTAATTCAACAATTATTGCATATTTTATGCATGCATTTTCATTAAAAAATAAACGGCATAATATTATAACCTATAAATCTCAACAACCATGCCAAAAAAATGTTCAACTACTATAGAACTTTTTTAAAATTAAATTAAGTTTTCTCTCAATGACACGAGAAAAACGGTATAGAATAAGCAATATTTACCAGACAGAGGTAGAACAGACCGCGCCAGCTCACTACTGGTAGAGGTGCCGTAACTATGCGTTCGATCACAGCAGGCACTCAGATGATTCACGAGAGTCCCTCCTTATTTTCTCACGTGCAAATACATGTGGTCCTATTAGTGCGTAATTGTTCAATATTTCAATGTGTGTTTTAGACACGCATACAAGTTATAAATAAAAGTTTTGGATTTAAAAAAATACGTATTATTATACTGGTTTTTGGTATCACAATTTATTTCAATTCAACTTTACAATAACTCAATTCTACTTTAACAATAACGATACAACTGATAACATTAACATGTAACGTCTATCATAAAACTGAAAACTGATGTCAGGTCGTCGCCTTATATAGCTTGCCTCGACCTTCTAGCACCTTCTCGAACAATCTGGACTTTTCGTTGACAAGGAATGATATTTCGAGACATTTTGGGAATATTCTATCTTCTTGATTTACTTGTACCTTTACTTATGATGACCGCAGCACGCTACAGGGTGCTGCGTAACATTGCTCCCTCCTCTCTAGTTATTAGCCCCGAATAACTTGATTACTGGTACCTGGTTGAAGCCAATGGGGATGATCTGGACCACAATATGGCGCTAACTTTTCAATGTGAACTACCTTGGGTTTACTTCCCGCTGACAACTGAATGCGGTAGATCAGGTCGTTGATTTCCCTTAAGGACGGAGTAGGGGCCTCGCCAGTTCCGTTGCGATTTCTGACAAAGTCCTCCTCGCTGCTTGGTATTGCACCGCCATACCTTGTCGTCCCTCTTAAAATGTGTATCTGTGGCACGCCAGTCGATTCTAGCTTCTGCTTTATCGGTATGGGCTTTCAGTCGTTCCTGAGCGAATCCATAGACCTTTGTCCTGCCATTGCATACATCACATCTTTTACACCAATCCGCTACATCCCGTCGGCAATTGACCTGTCAAAGAAAAGTCCAGATTGTTCGAGAAGGTGCTAGAAGGTCGAGGCAAGCTATATAAGGCGACGACCTGTCAGTTTTCAGTTTTATGATAGACGTTACATGTTAATGTTATTAGTTGTATCTTTATTGTTATAGTTGAATTGAGTTATTGTAAAGTTGAATTGAAATAAATTGTGATACCAAAAACCAGTGTAACATTGGTGACAGCGGTGGGATAAACAGTTAAAATTCATGGTAAACACTAGATCCACGGAGTACGAAGCAGGCATGGATACTTCAGGCCCACCAACATGGTTTTTGAAGATGGAAGAGGAAAAGGAAAGGCGTAGGAAGGAAGAAGAAAAAGAAAAATAGGAAAGGCGTAGGAAAGCAGAGGTAGAAATTATAAATGGCTTAGTACAAATCCAGGAAACCTTCAAGCAAGAGATTATTCAGCTTAAAATTAGAGTAGATCTGTTAGAGCAACAGCATCTAAAAGCTAATTTAGAACAGCAGCAAGAGCATTTAAAAAATAATTTAGAACAACAACGAGATAATTTAAAACAACAGGAAAAGGCTAGAGTAGAGTTCGAAAGGTAAATTAGAACTGAACTAGTTGAGTTAGAAAGAAGAATTCGTAGCCTAGCTTCGATAAGAAACAGAGAAGCTGAAAACACTACCTCGTCCTCATCTGTAATCGAACCAAGCCATATTCAACACACAGTTTCACAAATCCATACTAGCAAGATCATTAAGCCACCCACGTTTGACGGTCAGACAACATGGGAAACGTATCGCCTCCAATTTGAAGCTGCAGCTAGAGCCAATGGCTGGGCTGAAAAGGAGAAGGCGGCTGTATTGATAGTGTCGCTGCGAGGACAAGCAGCAACCGTTTTACAATTACTTCCTCAAGAAGAACCCAGTTAGTCATCTCTCGTCCAAGCTTTGGAGACAAGATATGACCAGCAGCATTTGAAACGGGTATTTCAAAGCCAGCTAAAGATTCGTAGTAAGAAACATAATGAGAGTCTACAGGAATTCGGGGCCGACATAAGAAGATTGATTCATCTGGTCTATCCGCAGGCTACCAAAGATTTTCAAGAACAAATCGGAATAGAGGCATCACAAGACGCTGAAGGAGAGACTGATTGCAGCCCAGGAATATGAAGCGGTAAAACTCATATACAGATCTTCTCGCGCAAAAATGAGAGAAATTAAATCCCAGGAAAGTGAGGAGACCCATACTAATGCTATTCCCCAACCTACCCTCTCGCAGATATTAATTATCCTGCAAAATATACAACGAAATAGCCAAAATAAGAACATAAGATGCTTTAATTGCGGAAGAATTGGGTACCTTAAAAGAACTTGTAGAAGCAGAGCTTCTTCTATAAATAGAGAATCGGGGAATGAAGCCGGAAAGTCAAAAAGATCAATCTTCTGAAGCCCGTCACGAAGTCCAACAAGAAATAGTCACAGCAGCTATGCATCCCGAAGTAGCCAATCACCCACACCGAGCCGGTTTTCTAGCAATAATCAGGAAGTAGAGCATCGTAGAGTCCATCTGTATAGCAACGCAACGCAACGCAGACATTCTCTCCAGGTGACCCTGTTTAGAACGAGAATTCCAGTACAGTAAGGGGCTCGGAGAACGGGAGGAACCAGTTGATAAAGTTACCCTTCGGACAACCACTATCAAGCCAGAGGGAGGCGAAGAAGAAATCACCCTTGAAAGTCTGAGACAGGGACAGAAGAAAGACAATGACTTAAAGGCTGTCCGAGAATGGCTAAAAAATAAAGTCACACCTACTTGGCAAGAGATAGTCAAATACAGTAGAACTATAAAAGGCTACTGGACCTAGTGGGATTCCCTGTATCTTTACGATGGTCTATTGCACCGGAAGTGGAAGAGCCCCGATGGAGTACATGTAGGC